ATTTTTAAAAAATTCAATTCGAATAATTTATAAACTTTTAAAATTTTAAGTGATATTGCTATTAAATAAAAAGTGTATTAGTAATTATAAATGGAAAAGCTTACTTCATTTCAATAACCCCAGTATTAAAAAAAAAACTAGCGATTTTATTACGCGAAATTAAAACAAGAAAACACCGCTTGGGAATACCAGATGCTGTAGGCTAGGGTGTGCAGCTGGTGTAATTGATAATGGCTAGAAATTGGAAAACGGAGAGCCGAGTTCCAACTCCAGACTCGTTCGTCATATTCACTTACACGGAAATATTATTGGTAAGGGTAATGAATCCAATTTTCCCTCCAGCTATGGGTTAATCAGTAGGACTTCCGTCAGTAAATTTTTATTATCACAAAAAAAAATATCTTACAATCTAAAACTATTTTCTGGCTTTAAATAACCTGCAAAGGTTGACAACAAATCAATCAATCAAAAGGAAAAAAAAAAGAAATATTTCTAGATCCAGGACAACTCTCAATATATCTACAAAGAACATTTTCTGTTGTTTGTCACCAATTGCTGAAAAATAGATACACTGATACGGTTCAATTCAACAGGGAGCAACTGGACCGTTTGAATGACATACCGGAAAAGATAAATTGCTTAATAGGGAAATAATATTTATATCAGCAGTTTATTACCAATTGTTTAGTTAATAATTAATAGCTTAAACTTAGATACATTGTTACTACGCAATTGACTCGTTTGATTGACGCATTGGAAGAGAAAATTATTTTTCTAGATCAGAATACTGGAGGGAATGAAGGAAAGCGAGACGAAAGGACTATTACGTCAATTGCAAGAAGACAGAATGCATGGTTGTTTGTAATAGGAATAGACCAACAAGCAAATTACAAATTGAAGATGACATAATCAAACAAGTACAAAAATGTAAATATCTGGGAAGTACTTTAACAGAGGATGATAACATTGGAATCTGAATGTTTAGGGGGATAGGGAAAGGTGCCTTGCAAAAAAGCTAAGCAAAGTATTAAGATAAAGAAACATTTCGTAAGAAACAAAGAAAAGAGTACTGAACTGTTATGTAATATAAGTCTTCTTATATGGCAATGAATGCTGGGCAATCTCTTCACAGATGACGAGAAAACTTGAGGCAACAGCAATATGATTCTATAGAAGGTTGCTGAGGTTACCATGGACCGAACATGTTTTAAAGACAATGGAAACAAAAAGGAAAATTATATTTAACACCAGGAAGAGACAGTTGAAATATCTAGGGCACATATTTAGGAAAGAAGGCTTGGAAAATTTGATACTCACATGGCAGATTGCATGTCCTACCTAGTGAACTAAATATGGATGGAGGGGCAGAATTAAGGAGAGATAACAAAAAGTTCAAATTTATAAAGAGATACAAAGGACAGTAAATTGTGGAGAGCCATGATCACCAACATCCTGAAGAGACATGGCACATAGAAGAAGATTTTATGCGATGACGTTACGCGTGGCGTAAATGAGATAAGAAGTTATTCCTGACGTAGTCTTCACAACTTCACAACTATCAATTTCAGACTATTGATTTTCTTTTGTTGTTTTTTTTATAGTCTGTACATGTGTTGTTTGATTCACTGATGTCAGCAGTATTAAGGTGTCCAAACATTCCTTGAAGAATTAATTAAACCGGGAATGGAATCGAGCATTTATTTTGGAATGCCTAATTCAACCAGAAAACTGTGTAAGATCAAAGACAATCGGACAGAGTCCATGGTCATCAGGGAAAGAGTGAGATCAAAATGCGATTTGCAGGTCGGGGACACTAATATGAAACATGTGCCGAAGTTTAAATATCTGGGAAGTGTTTTGACGGCGGACAGTAGCGCGACGCTGAGATCCGAGGACAGATTAGGATCGCCAGGGAGGATTTCTTTGATGACAAAGAAAAGAGTACTGAGCTAACACGTGGCATCTGTCCTCCTATACGGCAGCGAATGTTGGACAGTCTCTTCTTGGACAGATGAAGAGATGTGGTTCTACAGAAGGATGCTAATGATATCATGGAGAGAGACACGATGAGGTCTTCGAGAGGATGCAAACAAGAAGGAACCTTATACTTAACATAAGGAAGAGTCAGCTGAAATTTCTGGGACAGGTAATGAGAAAGGAGTGCCTGGAGAATCTGATACTCACAGTTGGGAAAAAGAGACGAGGGAAAGCAACGCATGACATACCTGGCGGGTATAAACAAGTGGATGGCAGAACGTAGTCTGGGGAGTTGGCGGAGGAACGAAAGTTCTTTAGAGCCACAAGGGATAGGGTGAAGTGGAGAGCCGTGATCGCCTACATCCTGAAAGGATACGGCACATAAAAAAAAAAGATGTCACGCAAACTTCGGCGCATAGGCCGGCAATTCTTCTCCCTGATGTCGCTTGCCTGCATCCTATTTCTTCCCTTCACCTGAGGATCTTATTTGTGGCTTTTCTCTCTTTCTTTCTGTCAGCTCAAAACTCATAGCAGTTGTCTGGTTGAAAAGAGACGTGTCCAGAAAATCTTAATCTAGTTCAGTTACAATATTCGCAGACAGCATGGCTGTGCGCGTCATATCACTCTTGTATCTGTGATGTGGCCACAGTAAGATACCTTCATGATTGTTCGAAGGTACTTCTAGTGGAATACTTCTACTTCTTGCGAGGTATACGAGTTGTTTTCCACATTTCACAGCTATCAATGGCTCTTAGTATCGCACTGGTGTTGTACAGGCTTGTCTTTAGGTTGGTATCGATCGAAGACATTGATCAGCGTTTTGGATGCTTTCCAAACACCGCCAATGCCTTCCCAAGGCCGCCCTAGGCATCCCCTTCTACGCCGACTTCATTTTTATCACACTCTCAAGGAATACAAATTTGATCACGTCTTATACGGTATGGGTTCCTGCCGATATTTGTTTGATTTTCAGCTCTTTGGCTAACATTTTTCTCATGGCTCATCTTCAGTCCAGCTTGACTCCCGATTTCATCGAGACTGTGTGTTAGTATTTTTTTTTTTTTTTTACCAATTGTTCACCCAGTACAAGACTTAAGGGTCACTCAAGTTAATGGATTGCTGAATAAGGTAGTTTTATCATCTCATCATCTTAGTTGTTTGATAGTAATTCCGACGTCATAAGTAAAACTTCAGATCTGCGAGAAATTCTTGGTTTGTCTCATCGGCGAGCTTTTTTCATAAAAAAAACTTTATCAAGAAGGATAAGAATAATGGTAAGCATACGCAACATATTGTATAGTTTTATAGATAAAAACAAAAGAAGACCTTGTCTAAATGGATAGTCGATGAGGGACTGGAAATTATAATAGAGAAACAATCGTTCTGTTTTCTTACGGTTTATCAACCCGTGACACTATAAAGGGTCACTGGTAGTAGTTGAAAGGAAGGTAAGGGACAATATCGTGACATATATTAGTTGGAATAAAAAAGGGCTCATGTAAAAGCACCGTATAGAGTTGGCGCAGTTGCAGTTCGAGCGAGAAGCAACCAACGGCCAAGAGAGGCAAGAAGACGGCGCACGAGCCACGCGAGAGCCGGAAGACGCGAGGAGAAGCCACGTGAACTGATGCCGAAGAGTACTGCCGACGTCGAGCCAGACGAAGAGAATTGCTGCCGAAGAGAATTTCCGACCTTGATCCAGTCGAAGAGGATTGCTACCGAAGAGAATTGCCGACGACGAGTCATATGTAGCGAATTGCTGTTGAAGATAATTGCTGACGTCGAGCCAGACTAAGAGAATTTCTGTCGAAAAGAACGGCCGGCATCGAGCCAGACGAACAGAATTTCTGCCGACGAGAATTGCTACTGAAGATACGTGCCATACGGAGCGAATTGCTGTCGAAGCTGAATTGCCGACGTCGAGCCAGAGGAAGAGAATTGCTCTCGAAGAGAATTGCCGACGTTGAGCCAGGCGAAGAGAATTGCCGACGTTGAGCCAGGCGAAGAGCATTGCTGTGTTGTAGCCAGACAAAAGAATTGATGACGAGACTTCCCGACCACTCATGTGAATGCTTAAACCGCTCCAAGCTTTAGAAGCAATAGATACTCTGTTATGCTAGAGAGTCGAATGGAAACGGCTAATTTTGTTGTATAAACGTTTATACAAACCCACTAAAAGTTAACCCATCGGCCTTCTTCGTTATTTGTTATGATTTTTTTGTTTTCACTGTGATCAAAGAACCCAGCGTTGGCAGAGCAGATGAAGGAAAGAAGCGGTCTACAAATAATCATCAGTTGACCGGTGCTAGTATTGACCAACGTGGGGAGCTCCCAAAATTAATCCGGTCACGTTATAAACCTTCTTTTGGGATATTTAAAGCCAGAAAATATTTTTAGATTGTAAGAATATTTCGGCAATAATAACGATTCATTAACACAAGTTCTACTAATTAACCCTAACAGAGAAAAGTGGTAGATTCACGCGTTATTTGCACGTAAGTGAATATAACGAATTCGACTAGTATTGGAACTCGGCTCTCCGATTTCTAATTTCGAACCGTTGTCCGTTACACTAACTGCACATCAAGTTTACAGCACCTGTTATTGCAAGCGGTCACACATTCAGATAGTGACCAAACTTCGGTAATTGCACCAGAACCGGAGTAAAACAACAAACTTAACTTAAAGTACAATGAGGAGGAAGTTGTGTAGAGCAATATTCGCCAACACCCTGAAGGCATATATAAGAAATAATACGGTAAAATATATACTTAAAAAAAACCTCTTGGTAATGTTTACAAGTCTGCTACTCTATATCATTTCCGATTTGAACGAGTTAAATTACTAACCCATGTTGAATTGATTCTAAGGTCTTTTTTTTCTCCAAGAATACATGTATAGACATGTTGATAAATTAATACGTATTAAGAGATAGGCATGTATAGCTGTGTTCACGAACGGAGTTTTTGAATAAACGTGGGTTTTCGATGACGTTGGTCTGAAGGTCTAGCGAACGAACGTGGCTATGACAGAGGGAACTCGGTGGAAGCGATACAAATGCAGGCTATTATCTTTATAATGACAACTGTGCAATGACAATATTTAGAAAGGTCGACAGCTGAATCTGAAGAATCGGAAGAATTCAAAGAAACGGAAGATGCGAAAGCAATGTGGGAAAGACGAGTGGGGAAAGTTAAATTTGTTGACTTCCGGTGGAAGGAAAGACAGGAAGGATAATGAAAAAGCTGAGCTGAAAGGAAAGAGAAGAAAAAATTGTATGCTTTCAAAGAAGAAAGTAACAGGGAGGGAAAGAAATGGAAAAGAAAGGAAAGAAAAGAAATGGAAAAGGGGGATAGAAACGGAAGAAAAAGAAAGGGAAATAAAGAAAAAAAGAAAACCAGAAAAAGTTTGGGCAGAAAAAAGAAAGAAAGGGAAAACAGAAGACAGTAAAGAAAGAAAGAAAGAAAGAAAGAAAGAAAGAAAGAAAGAAAGAAAGAGAAAGAGAAATAATATAACATAAGAGAAATGGGGGTATTAAGAAAGAAAGAAAGAAAGAATGCAGAGAAAAGAAAGAATGAATGAAATAAAGAAAAGGAAAAGAATAGGACAGAAAAAGACATAGAAAAGAAAAGAAAAAGAAAGTAAAAAGAAATGAAGAACACAAACAGGAATGTAAAAGACAAATGAGAGAGAAAGTAAAAAGGAAAGAGTAAAAGGAAAAGGAGGGCGCAAAAAAAAGAAAGGAAAAGAGGGAGATAAAAAAAAGAAAAGAAAGACAGTATTGAAAGAAAGTATAGAAAAAAGAGAAAAATGGATGAGAATTAAATACCTAAAGAAATCCAACGAAAGAACATTATGTGAAAACGAGATAGTTATGTAAAAAGTTTAGGAAAATAAGAGAAAGAAACAGATAGATAGATAGATAGATAGATAGATAGATAGATAGATAGATAGATAGATAGACTGAGATAGATAGACAGATATGAATAGGCTGAGATAGGTAGATAGATAGAAACTGCAACATAGATAGATAGATATAAATAGACTGAGATAGATAGAGAGATATGAATAGGCTGAGATAGGTAGATAGAAACTGCAACGTAGATAGATAGATAGATAGATAGATAGACAGATAGATAGATAGATAGATAGATAGATAGATAGATAAACAGACTGAGATAGATAGATATAAATAGACTGAGATAGACAGATATGAAAAGGCTGAGATAGATAGATAGATAGATAGATAGATAGATAGATAGATATAGACAGAGATAGATAGATATAAATAGACTGAGATGAACAGATATGAATAGACTGAGATAGACAGACAGACAGACGTGAATAGACTAAGATAGGTAGATAGAAAGAAAATGCAACATAGATAGATAGATAGATAGATAGATAGATAGATAGATAGATAGAAACTTTAACTTCAACTCATAGAAAACTTCGTCTTGCATAAAATTCCCTAGTGACAAAATGTGTGTCCTCCGATTGTATCCTTGTGTTATACTATGTTGTGCTTAGTAAATGTCAATACGAAGATGAAAAGGAGAAAACTATGAAAAGTTGGATTCAGGAAGTCGATCGCGAAACGTTTAGATGAAAGAAAGAGAACGCATAAAATATCAAAGCAAGAAGAATGTGCGATGCAAAACGAAAGAAAAATAATGCGGATATGTCAAATTAAAAGAAAGAAAATAGAAGGAGAGAAAAGACATGGAATGTTACAGAAAGTCGAATACACGAGAAAACAAAAGAATGAAAAATAGCACCCAAAATTGAAAGAAAAAGAGAGAATAGGTCAAATTGAAAAAGAAACGAAAGAAAGAGTATAATAAAACATTAAAGAAAAAAAAAACAGTATGCAAAAATAAAAAAAAATGAAATTAAAGAAAGACAGTTTTGAAGAATGAATATGTGACGCAAAACTAAAGAATATAGAAAGATCCAAAGAAAAATAACATACGATATTCAAAGGAAAAAGAATATATGCAAAATTTAAAGACAGGGTATAAATCCTTAAAGAAAGAAAGAAAGAAATCCTAAGAAGAAATAAAGAATATGTAAAGAAAGAAAAAAACGAGAATATAGAAAATTGAAGGAAAGAAAAGATATACATTATTCAAATAAAGAAAGAAACAAAGAAGGAAATAATGACTGAATAAGAGGGTGACTCTAAAATAGCGAAAATGAAAGAAAGCAAAACTTGGAACACTAATAAAAAAAAAAGAAAAAAGAAAATCTGAAAAGGCGTGAATGAGTCGAAATGTTGGTGAACAAGATATTAGACACACGCCATAAACACATTCGACGAAATAATCCGAACGAAACCGTATGACTCCACTCAATCCACTGGCTTTCCTGTTCGGATCAAAGGAAGGTGAATTATAATGCAAATGGTGGGAGAGACGTATGATGTGTCTGTTCGAGTTTCTATAATAAACAGATTTTGACGATAAAGCCGTGGAGGGGAGAAGAGTAGAGTAACATTGGCGGCAAATACTTTGGTCTAGTTTGCTCCCCCTCCCCCAACTTGTTATGAGTTACTCTAGCGTTTCTTGTGATTTTGTTTACGAAATGGGGAAGAGTTGTGGCTCGTTCGGTAACAATGTCAGGCTATTTACTGCGTGGTGATTTAATTGGTTGGACAGGCGAAAGATTTTATGTACATTCTTCTGCTTCTTAAGGGTCTTTTCAAATACTACGTCAATCACATAATAGCTTCTTGTAGTGATGTTCACCCAGTACAAGGCCCTGGAGCCACTCGAGGTAGATGGTTACAGAGTAAGAAGCACGGCTTATATTTGCGAAAGATAACGGTTGAACTTGGACAGGTTAAGATTGTAGTGATCGCGGAGGCAACCTTGTAGGAAACGGTTTCATAAGGCAGTGGTTCATGAGAAGAAGCTGGAAGTGTAGGACTTATATTTCACGAATAGAATAAAAAGGGAATGAGAATGGTTTGCTACAATGTGCGTGGCATGGCGGGTTTTAGCCGTGAAGGCTAGGACTGGTAGAACACTTTGCATGGAAATAATGAAAGAGCAGCTAGAGGCTTACAACGTTTATGGGGATAGGTGAGGAAAATAACAGTTAACACTAAAAATGAACAGGTTGAGATTATGTTGATCTGGGAAATAACATCTTTTGAGTCGGTCCGAAAAAACAGAGGTTTGCGGGAAGGATCTGCGCGAGTGGAATTTATATCTCACCAATGGAAGACAAAGTTAATGATGGTTGTTCGCTACAATGTACGTGGCATGGCTTGCCTTAGACGTGAAGGTTAGCACTAGTGGAAAACTCGACATGGAAATAGCGATAGAGCACCGAAAGGCTTGCGACTTGTCGACTGTGAGAAAAGGGGTTGCAAAGTGGAAAACTCGACATGGAAATAGCGATAGAGCACCGAAAGGCTTGCGACTTGTCGACTGTGAGAAAAGGGGTTGCAAAGTGGAAAACTACAAGGTCGCTTTTGAACTCTGTCGAGACTGGAAAGTGAAAATAAAGCAGTTCCAACACATATATGAAAGCAGTACACCATTTTCGGCCTGGTTTGGCTATTATAAATGTAAAGGATAACTTTACATCCCAATAGGTGCTCAAGTCACGGGGACACCCCTCAACTCCGAGGAAACTTCGGATCAGATCGGGAGATCACTAGCTTGGTTCTTGAGGTTTTGAATGTGACCAGCGACTTTCCCGCCACGAAGCTGTTTGTTCAAGCTCAAAGTGGAGATCAGCTGCCAAGCTGTGGTCATTGAAGATTTTGAACCCATGTACCGTTGTATCATCAATTTAGATATTAATAAATGATCGGAGTATACTCTGAGTCGTATCATTTACATCTAGGAGGAATGGGGAGGGACCGAGAAGCGAATCATTGGGCAGGACTTTATAAAATATATTTTATTTCTTTAAACGTTATTTTTACTGAGTACGCGTGTATAAATTGAACCCTCTGTTTTGGTTTCACTCTTTTTTTAAACAATGCTTTTAAAGTGTACTTTTCTTTCCCATTTTCCGTCAGCATCCTCCTGAAGAACAACATCTCTATCGCTTCAAGCGTTATTTTCACCTGTGGGAAAAGTATCCAGCATTCACTGGCTTATATCAGGAACAATCTCTATCTATAAAAGGCAGTATGTGCGTCGGTGTATATAACGAATGCACGGTCGCAATTTTCGACGGATTTGCACCAAAATTTACATGCACATGCTCCAAGTTAGCGGCAAGGCCAAGACCGAGGTGGCATTTCCCAACTCCCATCGATAGTGGAAATAATCGATTTTTTCATGCTTCTATGGCAGTTTTCATGTAGTTTGCGGCCATTTTCTACTGGCCAGAGTGAGAGCCAATAGCTGGCTGCCACGAATAGGCAGGAAGATTCCATTGGCCAGCGTGAGAGCCAATAGCTGATTGACACGAATGTTAACTAGCATGCTAGCATGCAAAAAAAAATCGATAGCTGCATTCGTCACAAGTGGGAAAAATTTAAATCTGCATGGCACTTTACTCCAATTGTCTCATTTGCTTGCTTAAACTCAACGTTGATTCTGATTCCGCAGAACTGGGTTGGGTGTGAAAAAGTATTTGTTGTTAACATTCATTTTCATTCGGTTTTTCCAGTTACGAGTCCTTTTTTTAAAGCTGATCATTTTGTGTTCATTTTGTTTAGTTCTTTTTTCGTAACAGATTTAATGTTTAGTATAGAGCTTAGAAAAATTTGCAGTGTGAGATAAGCAAGAAGTAAGGCATGCAGCAACATCGGCACGGCAAAGGGCACTCCTTTAAAGGCAAGGAAGGGCAAAAATATTTTAAGTCAAGTGATAGCGATTGCTGCATGAGTCGTACGATTTTTGAATCAAGCACAGGCAACGTGCTGCTAGTATTACATAAGATTCATGTACTCTTTTTCTTTGTTTCTAACGATATTTTCTAATCTATAAACCACAATGTATGTGTGTTTATCCGTTTTTTTCAATCTCGGTAAAACATAAACAACCTGAAGTAACAAGTAGTAACTGCTGTAGTTACACGCAATTAAAAATTAAATAAATAACTCATTTAAAGTTAAATTTAATTATCGAACAGAGTGAAAAGTTAAAAAAAAAATTCTTTATTAAAGGTTAAAATTTAATTTCACTTTTCGCCGTAATTGCATTTGATATTGTCTCATTAAACTGTAATTAAAACTTAAGCGGGGCAGGGTACGTTGCTCATATATTTTTTTTTTCTAGGATGTATATTGTAAGGTATTCGAAATATTACATAGTTCGGCTTCCCTAATGTCTTTTAAGAGTGACTTTATGTGAAGGGATCATAAAGAATGGTGATTTTAAAAGAAAAAAAAAATTCCTCGCAAAAACAAACTACGGAGATCGGTTGCGTATAAGAAAGATTATGTCGAATTAAGGTGTCGAATAAAGATAAAATAATTTTATTCCTAAATTCTTATAACTTTTACGTACATAGGACGTTGAAGGTAAAAGGACGAAGGCCCAATAGCCATCCGCATGACCTCGACGGAGCCCAGCCCTCTTCACGCAGCATTTGAATTAACCATTTTCCTTCTCCTAGACTGGTTGCCAACGAAGGCTATAGGACCCACTCAGTCTTCTTATGTACCCACAGAAGTTATGGATGGTATTAGTACGCAAATGTAATGGACTCGACCGGCTCTCCAATTCCTAAATCCTGTAACGAAACCGACTGGAATTCGAACTCTGCTCTCTGATTTATCATTTCGAGAGCTGAGTTCGAATTCCAGTCGATTTCATTACATTCACCTATGCAAATACCCTTGGGCTATTATGAATCGACAAGAGACATTGCGCAAGCGTGTTACATACGCCCCCCACCCAGCATTGATACGCAAAGGGACATCGCGGTAGGTTAATGGCCCATTCCTCCCCATGAATCTGGGAAAGGGCTACGTCCATCAAAAGGACCTTCAAAGAAGAAGAAGAAGAAGAAGAAAAAACAACGTTATTGAAGAAGAAAAAGAAGATAAAAGAAGAAACAACAACTTTGAGTAAGATGAAGAAGAAGAAGAAGAAGAAGAAGAAGTAGAGTGGGAAGAAACAACAACGTTATCGAAGAAAAAAAGAAGAAAGAAGAAAGAACGTTGAAAAAGGAGGAAAAGTAGACGGCGAAGAAACAACAACGCTGAAGAAGAAGAAGAAGAAGAAGAAGAAGATTAAAGAGACGATGAAACGAAGACGAGGAAAAAAGAGTAGATGATGATAATGATGATGATGATGATGAAGAAGAAGAAGAAGAAGAAGAAGATTAAAGAGACGATGAAACGAAGACGAGGAAAAAAGAGTAGATGATGATGAAATGATGATGATGATGATGAAGAAGAAGAAGAAGAAGAAGAAGAAGAAGAAGATTAAAGAGACGATGAAACGAAGACGAGGAAAAAAGAGTAGATGATGATAATGATGATGATGATGATGAAGAAGAAGAAGAAGAAGAAGAAGAAGAAGAAGAAGATTAAAGAGACGATGAAACGAAGACGAGGAAAAAAGAGTAGATGATGATAATGATGATGATGATGATGAAGAAGAAGAAGAAGAAGAAGAAGAAGAAGAAGATTAAAGAGACGATGAAACGAAGACGAGGAAAAAAGATGATGATGATGATGATGATGATGATGATGAAGAAGAAGAAGAAGAAGAAGAAGAAGAAGATTAAAGAGACGATGAAACGAAGACGAGGAAAAAGAGTAGATGATGATAATGATGATGATGATGATGAAGAAGAAGAAGAAGAAGAAGAAGAAGATTAAAGAGACGATGAAACGAAGACGAGGAAAAAAGAGTAGATGATGATAATGATGATGATGATGAAGAAGAAGAAGAAGAAGAAGAAGAAGAAGATTAAAGAGACGATGAAACGAAGACGAGGAAAAAAGAGTAGATGATGATAATGATGATGATGATGATGAAGAAGAAGAAGAAGAAGAAGAAGAAGAAGAAGATTAAAGAGACGATGAAACGAAGACGAGGAAAAAAGAGTAGATGATGATAATGATGATGATGATGATGAAGATGAAGAAGAAGATTAAAGAGACGATGAAACGAAGACGAGGAAAAAAGATGATGAAGAAGAAGAAGA